TGTATGGCGGTGGTGGTAGCACACTTACGAACCCAGGGGATAGTCGTGTTCCCATACATTGACGATTGGATTATTATTGGAAAATCAGCCTCCCAGCTTCAAAAACAGGTCTATACTACCTGGTGTCTCCTCCAATTCTTGGGCCTGATCGTCAACGTGGAGAAATCCTCCCTGAAACCTACCCGCGGTATCCTGTTTATTGGCGCATTCCTCGATTCAACGACGCGCAGAGCCTACCTCCCGCCGGAGCGTTTTGCCAACCTACAGGCGCAGGTGAGATCGGCCCTGGAGTCTACCAGAGTGTCGGCCAAACAGGTTCAGACACTCTTGGGGCATATGGCTTCCACGACTGCGGTAACTCCCTTCGCTCGTTTGCGCTTGCGCCCCCTTCAATCATGGTTTGGGTCAGTTTTCAACCCACTCAGGGATTGCCCTCGGCTCAAGTTTATACTGCCCGAGGAAGTCCGTATGTCCCTAGTATGGTGGCTGCAACCCCAATTTGTCTGTTCGGGCCTCCCCTTCCAGCTCCCTTACCCCACCAGAATAGTCACGACGGACTCCTCTCWGACGGGGTGGGGTGCCCATTCACAGGGGCTAGTCGCTCACGGGAAATGGTCCCTGGAAGAAAGCGCTCTTCACATAAACGTGCTAGAGCTGCTGGCCGTAGAAAGAGCGCTAAAGTCATTCGAAAGACTCATTCTCGGCCAGGTCGTTCAGATATTGACGGACAACACAACTGTTGTCTTCTATCTGAACAAACAGGGGGGCACACATTCCCCTCAATTATTACAGCTAACACTGAACATTTGGGAATGGTGCATCCAAAGACAGGTCTTTTTGCAGGCCACTCATCTCCCGGGACAGGAGWATTCTTTAGCGGACGCCCTCAGCAGAAACCCGCTGAGTCACCACGATTGGTCCCTTCACCCCCTAGAGGTGACCAGACTCTTCCGTCTGTGGGGATATCCAATGATAGATCTGTTTGCCAACAGCGACAACAAGAAATGCGAGACCTTCTCCTCGAGGCTCCCAGCTCCCAGGGACCAGGCTTGCCTAGGGGACGCATTCCTCAGAACGTGGGGAGGGGGCCTGGCATATGCATTCCCTCCCTTTCCCCTTCTGCTAAGAGTGGTAGCAAAACTACAAAGGGACAACGCGTATTGCATCCTGATCACTCCGTGGTGGCCTCGTCAACCGTGGTTTGCCCCTCTGCTACAGCTGTCGGAAGGAAACCACATGAGGCTTCAGAAGAGAGTCGATCTATTGACATCTCAGGAGGGCCAGGTGTTGTACCCGGATGTTCATTTGTTGAAACTAACAGCTTGGTTAATTCGGCCCCAGGGGCAGACAGGATCTTGAGTCTCCCGCAGAATGTAAGGCAAATTATCGAGGCCGCACATAGGCCCTCCACTAAGAGATCATATCTGTTTAAATGGGCACGTTTTAGGGACTTCTCAAGGACGAGAGGTCAAGAACCAGAGGTAGCCCCCATTTCCACAGTTTTGGACTTCTTATCGTCGCTTTACGATGCAGGGCTTTCCAATTCTTCCCTGAAGTGTTATCTTGCAGCCATATCATGGTTTAGGAGGAAGGCGGGTTTACCGTCATGTTTTGCGGACCCCCTGGTTAAATGGTTTTTGAGGGGCTTAGGGAATATCAGACCTTCTGTGGCCCCAATTGCCCCTTCCTGGAACTTGGAACTAGTTCTTTCGGCCCTAATGAAACCTCCTTTTGAACCCTTGGCTACAGCAGAGCTGGGCCCCCTGACGTGGAAAGTGGCTTTCTTAGTAGCTATTACGTCAGCCAGACGGGCTAGTGAGCTGTGTGCTCTCAGGGTAGATCCTCCTTATCTCAAATTTCATAAGGATAAGGTGGTGCTCCGGACTGATATAGCGTTTCTACCAAAAGTAGCCACAAGGTTCCACATGTCTCAGGAAGTAATCCTACCGGCGTTCTTTCAGAATCCTGAGACTCCCATGGAGAGGGCGTTGCACTCTCTAGATGTGAGAAGGGCATTAGCCTTTTACATGCAAAGGACTGCTGATTTTAGACAATCCCCCAGATTGTTTATTAAGTATAGGAAGGACACTAGGGGCCTTCCAGTTTCTACTCAACGTTTGTCAGCTTGGATTGTTTCGGCTATCCGTACTTCGTACAGGATAGTAGGCAAAGAGTTACCCGGTCAGGTTAAGGGTCATTRGACGAGGGCTGTAGCAGCGTCCACTGCATTTATGAAGGGCATTCCTGTAGAGACTATCTGCAGGGCTGCCATTTGGGCCTCTCCTTCCACATTTGTTTCCCACTACAAGCTGGACTGTGTGGCGAGAGGAGAGACGYGATTTGGTAGAGCGGTGCTGTTTTCGGCAGTGGCATGATCCCACCAGCCATTACATAGCTCGCTAGTCTACCACAATGTGTGATTCACAGTTAACTACGACAGGAAATGGGAGGTTGCTTACCTGTAACCGTGGTTTCCTGWGTAGTTACCTGTGAATTCACACATACCCTCCCTTCCTCCCCTCAAGTATCATGCCACCTCCTCTGTTTGCTTCTGCGGCGGAAGAGGATGGAGGGCGGGCTCCACTCAGGGCCTTATATACTTGCAGGGGGGGAGGTGGAGCCACGAGGGGGA